GAGTATTTTGAGCAACACTGGCTCTCGAAAGTCTCGTCAGACATTTTGCGTTATTTCTTGTTCGTCTACCTTCTTGTTCTTGTCCGTTTCCTTGGGCTGTTTTAATTTTTAATCATGGTGTTGTGACATTATGAAAATGTCACAACACCATGAGTCTCTATAACCGAGAAGGACAGTGTTAATTCTTTTGAGTGCATTTACCGCCTCGAGCTTCTCGAAGAGGCGCATAATCACTTGGTCTCCTCCCCTCCCCGTCTTCGATCGCAAAGAAAAAAACAAAAGGACTAAAAAAAGCGGATATAACTTGCCCCCCCCCCCCCCTTTTTTTGTAGAAATGTTTTTATTTTTTAACATTGTTTTTGGGGTCTAAAAAAAAATCAGGGGCTTGGTGTTGCAAAAAAAGGCTTTGCGGAACTGAAGAGTGCCAAGCCTCCCTTGCGCTGGTCAATTCGCGTGAGTGTCACTGCGCTCGACTTTACCAAAAAGAAAGAAAAAAAAAAAAAAAAAAAACTTTATTTAGAAAGGGGGGGGGGGGGGTGCTTCTGAAAAAAAATGTAACGGATTACAAGGAACCCGTTACGGCAAAAATGTAAGGGAATTACTTTAAAATTACTCTAGCAAATATGTAATTATTCCGTTATTAAATTACTGATAAATGTAAGGGATTACAAGTAATTTCGTTACTTGTAACGGATTACGTACAAGTCTGAGTGGGACCATATACCTCCTCTATACTGACAAAGCCTGGCAGATCGCCACGAAAAGCGGTCGTCGAAAATGAAAAGGTAGAGCGGCAGACAATGGATGAGAGAAGAGCCACGTGACGGGCGCCCCGCTCCGGCGAGACGCCGTAACTGTACCGAAACACACTTCTCCCGAGGGATGGAATGTCCGCTCGTGCTCCTCGCGTTTCTCGCGCTACCGCTTCTTTTCTCATCGGATTTGAAAACAATGCTTGGGGTCCTCGCCGCTGCAAAAGCTGTGCGCTGACGTCCAGGTTCCCCGAGACATGCTCTGTGCTACCAGATCCTCGCGCTCCAAATCTGCGACCGGGCACTTTATGGCTCCGTCGTCGAACTGCCAGGCTTTGTGAGTATAGAGGAGGCTATGGTGGGACTCAAGGATACTGGAACGCAACGCCACTGGCCAAGAAACTAATTTGTTGCGGAGTGATTTCAAGGACAAAAGCTAGCGTTTCATTCAATCTCTCCCAGTGACGATATTTAAATTCGGTTCATTGATTGAACCAGAGCATTGCGTGGGCACTCGATTTGGGCTCGTGATAATCGATAGCTCGAGAAGCATTCGGGTAGTGCGCCCGTGTCCAATCGCTGCCATGACGACGATAGCCGAACCATGACAATGTCTGGAACTCAGCGCGTGTCCTGTGGCTTGCCAACCCCAGCGCATGGCTATGATCAACAATGGCGGCATATAATCGGCTCCAGATCACGTGGCCATTTGTTCTGGCTGCGAGTTGAGGGGGTGAACGCTGCTCGTTTTTCTTTGATTTCTTTCTGCGACTTCGTTTGCGTGTGGTGAAAAATAAACGGGTGTTTCACAGGTCATTAGGGAGTTTTCGTAGATGGTTTTCGCCGTCCCGCAACGCTCTCCGCAACCCGCTACGATACCCGGAACTCTACAATCAAGGCCATCAGCGCGCAGGCGCAGTAGCGGCTTCTTCGTTGCGGAGGGCTTAGCGGAGGGGGAAACGCGGTCTACGAAAACTCCCTATTATTAACGCCAGGGATCCGTTCTAAGCGGTAATTGCGTAAAGTACAAAAATCGTTGCATCGCTTCTTTAAAAGGCCTCTAACACGCCCCCCCCCCCCCCCATTTTTTTTTTTTTTTTTTTCAGGTTAGGCGTTAAAATGGTGTATGAGGATATCGTCAAACAATTTCTTCACTTTAGAGTTGCGCAGTTTTTTTATATATAAAGAATAGATATACGAAGCCAATTCAAAGTGCCCGCCAATGCCCCGTGACGTAACAATGTACCGCAAGATGTCGGGGCGGTCAGAAGGGAGGCATCGCCGGAAGTCACGTGAGTTGTATCACTCCTCGTGCTTACCACGACCGTGTGTAATATCTTTTGTTATATTTTTATTTTCCGCACCTCCGCGAGCAACCCAAGCATACAAGGTTTCTTTCATTTGCTTTTCATCGCCTAATGTTGCTGTAACGGTGGAAGAAGAGGAGTCAGTGAACCTAGTAAACAAGTTCTGCTCGTGTTCTAGACAAAACACGTACTTTATACTCGACGTTTACTTGTACTTGGTACACTCAACAGTTCGTATTCTCTAGGCGGCAAACATCTTCAGCCTGGAGAGTATCCGATGATTCGACGACCTCGGTGTCGCCTTCAGCAATGCGATCGGGCGTGCCGTATTTATTTATTTATTTATTTACAGAGTACCTACATCGCCTCGAGGGCATTATTGTAGGAGGGGCAGGACCAATCCTAATTTCTGCGAGCGTTCTAGATTTTTTTTTTCAAGACTTGATAGCTTGTTTTGTGCCCAGTATGACTCTGTACTATCGGACTGTTGGCATTAGGGAGCCTTCATGTGCGCTTTGCTAGGGTGATGCCATCCTTTGTAATACCACTCGCCGAAAAACCAGCAGCCATTTTGTTCCTCGGCGATAATCCGTGGGGCTTATAACCCTCCCGGAAACAAGCACCTCATCTCAGAAGTTCGGAGCAGCGTTGTGGAACCCACGGAGGGAGGATTAGCATTTTCCCCCTCGGATGGGATTACCGATGGACACAAAGGCCACTTTCCGGCGCACGGGGAAACAATGAGAGAAACAAAATGGCGGTGGAAGAGGGTGTGGGAAAGGGAAACAGGCAGTTGGCATCACTCTATGCGAAGCGCACATGAAGGCACTCTAGTTGGCATGCACTCGTGCACTGGCTTGTCCTTGCAACGCTTTTATCATTGACCTCCACGTCGATCTACTAACTTTTCGTCCTCAACTTTTTCAGCACGCAAACCAACGGTGCAGTGATAAAAAGCTGGTGGAACTGAAACTTCGTTTTCTACAATCGCTCGTGGAGAAGGCAAAAAAAAAAAAAAAAAAAAAACAACTTTTAGGCACGGTTGAGGGGAGCGCGAGGAGTGAAATTCACGTGACTTCCGGCGAACACAATTTAGCGACATAGGTCGCTGCCTCCCTTCTGACCGTCCCGACTCCTTGCGGTACACTGTTACGTCACAGGGCACTGGCGGGCACTTTGATTTTGTTTGGCGTGTCAGAGCAATACCACCTAGAACACAAGGCCTGCGCGTTTCCTCCTCTAAACGTCATCACTAGTAGATCCCCTCAGCGCCCCCTAGCTAGCCCGGATGAACAACATCGTCTGCTACATCGTCTGCTACATCGTCTGCTCCATCGCCTGCTTCAGTGGTTTGTGTAACAGATAATGAAACAGATGCTCACGCCGAGTGTCTCTTGCAAATAGCATATGACGAAGTTAGACGTTCACGTGGAGCGCCAGATGCATGAGCGAAATTGCCTTACTGCTGCGCGAAGGGCTGAAAAGCCCTTCGTTGGACGCTGGACGCTGACACTGGACGCCATTTTCGAGGGCGCTGTTTATACCTCGGGTAGCTGCTTCGAAGGGTTCTACCGCAGAACGAGCGCGCGCGCTAGAAATGCGAGTCTCAAAGCCAGGAGCGCGTGCTAGCTCGCGCTCCTGGCCGAGGGAGCGTTCGCGTGCACGTCGCAAATGCACTGGAAGCTCGCTATCAGCTCGCGCTCAGCAGTCACGCACACAGCTGCGGCCGCAAGTGAATGCGACGTAGTTGCGACGCGCCTCATACTCTCGTCAAGCTTCGGGGTGTTTGCCGCTTGGGGCGGGTCGGGGATCTACCAACGAAACGTCATGCGCAGGCCTTGTCTTCTAGGTGGTATTGGTCAGAGGCCCTTTAAGGGTAAACGCTAAGAGTTAGAACAATCTTCGTGGGAACAGACAAATAATGTTCCTCCTTTTTCTACCATTCCAATGAATGGGAATATTTTCTCACTTTATACGAGCTTACTAACACTAGCGGGATACACGCGTACTTGCACGCAACGTCACTGACAAAGGAGCTTCTGTGTTGGGGAAACGCTTTAATAAAAGGGAGCGTTTCTTTCAGTCTTTCTTTCGCTGAAGTCAATCCAGTGACTATATTTTTCGCAAAGCTTGATCACGTAGCACGGGGATCCCACTGTTGGCAGTCTCCGGTGTGACGATATTTGAATGCGCCTCATAGATTAGACCCCGAGCATTGCGTGTGCACCCAACTTTGGCTCGTGGCAATCAATGACTCGACGAGCCTTCGGATAGCGCATGGCTCGTGTCCAGTCGCTGCAATGACGACCCCGGCGAACCCTCTAACAATTTCTGGAACTCAGCAAAGTGCCCTGTGTTTCGGCAACCCCAGCGCATGGCTATGATAAATATTAGGCTCGTTCGATTTACGTGCACCTCTTGCACCGGGTGCAGAAAAGTGAAGAGCAGTGTACTTCCGGTACGCCGTATTGAGATACGACCGGAAGTACACCTCCCTACACTTTTCTGCACCGTGGCCGGTTCCATTTTCAGCGTTCTTGCGTATCGCGCGTGATGTGCTCGACTTTCCGAAGCGAAGAACATGCGCGTGCTGGACTGAGGAGGTCGCACGATGGGCTCAGGACTAGTCCAGATTACACGATCTCTAGTTCTGGCTGAGAGTTGAGGGGGCTAACAGTACTCGTTTTCCTTTTAATTTTGTTTTCCTGCTACTATCATTTTGTGGAAAGAAGAAAATTTGTAAGGCACGTTTCGAAGGTTTTGAATGTCGGGAATTCATTCTAATCGGTATTTAATGAAAGAACACAAATCGTTGCACCGCCCTTTCAAACAAGAACTAAAATGTCGGCAATTTTGAAGGTCACGCGTGAATCAGCCAGGGAACGAAAGGAGCACATTCCCGGGCAGGACCTGAACAAACGAGGCGCGGTCGTGTACTCACGAGGTAGAGGAGCCCGTACAACCGGAGCGATCTCACAAACGTGATGAACCACAGGTCGAGCCAGGCTTCACTGCAGTGAGGCGTCCATGTGTGGCCGATCTCGTAGCAGTTGTAGGGCACAGACATCGACAGGAACTTGCTCAGCGTCATGTCCGTTCGCCTCTAACCCCAAAAACCTCTTACAAAAAAAAAAAAAAAAAATACACAGGGCACGATGAGCCGGGCGAGCAGCAACCGACTCTCGGTTCAACCCTCAGTGTACCGACGCCACAAAGATTCGACGAGCGCAGTGCGGCCCATGAAACGACGATGCGCGTGCGACCGTTTCCTCTTCCCCCTCTGACAACAAGTGGCTGCACGATCTGGTGGTGGCACGAGGCTCGGCGTGCGAGAGCGCGTGCCGATGAATTACGCCGCCGCCAACGCGGTTCGGATTTTTTCACTTTCCACTTCGATATCGGGCGCTCGGGCGACAATCCGGTATTCTCCTCGTGCGCTCGCGGCAGCAGCGTTTTGACTGTTTGAAGGCGAAGGGTTGCCGCTGGGGGGTACGACGAAGTGTTCCCTCCCGTCGCCGCCAATAAAACACGGGTGGGAGAGCGAGGAAAGACGAAAAAACAAATGCGACTTTTTTCTATTTTTATTTGAATGGAAAGTGAAGGACGTCGAGGGGCGGTGGAGGAAGTTTGCTTATCGTTTTCATCTTTTTTGCCTGCGCGCTTTCCGCCACTGTGACGGCACGGTTGATTGGCAAGGAGAGGATGTCTGCCTGTCACACATGTCCGATTTCATTCTTTTGTCTTCGCTCCTCTCTGGGCTCTTGGGCCAACTTACGCACTTTTTCGTTTTTTCAATAAAAATAAAAATCTGGTTATTTTTAGCAGCCAAAGAAAACGTAAAAGGGGATGGCTCTGTCTGCCCGTGTGTGTACGTTGGGAGGGGGGAAACTGATAGCGATGGCTGAAGGTCATGAGTCACGAAGGAAACACACAGACACACGACATTCGTGTTTGCCCCGCTGATACTACGCGAATAAACCAAGATCAACAAAAACGAGGAAGCCCACGATCAGAGTCGTGAATAGCCCCTTTTCACCCCGTTCTAATTACAAGCTGTCCGTTGCTGCACGTCAGACGCCCCTACAAACAGCCAGCCTTGACGTCGAGCCTGTCAGCAAGCTAGACTGAGAGGGAATGCCGCGAATCTCACTCTGACTTCTAGGGGCCGTTGCAACAAGACTGTGACGTATATACCCCCAAGTCACGGTGGAAGAAGATAACAGCCTGAACTCTGAACAAGGCCAGCAAAAACGGCAAAAGCTTGCTCGGGGTTTGAGCGTCTCTCGGCAAGGGCACTGCACGATGCATCTTATTGGCGAATCTTGTGTCGCGAAACTAGGTTTCGGGAAACAGATTCCCCGTCCGAACGCGACCGAAAAAGTGGCGCGCCTCCGAAAAAAATGGCGCGTGTTCCTCGCTTCGGGAGCAATTTTTCGCTGAAACCTCACCGAGGCCTGTCAATCACCCGAAGGAGAAACGCGGACGCTGCCAATGGCCGCTCGACTTCGCTATGACGTCTGACCTTCGAGGAGGAGCGAGCTTTTGGAGGAGTCTGATTTTTGGCCGGATTCCGTATCCGGGTCAAAGCCGAAAGAAAACAAACAAGCATGGCGAGCGACATGCGGAAAAGCGGTGCGTACGGGCGATGAGTCTTGGTCCTACTTGGTTGCAGGTGTGTGATCGGCGGGTTGGTGGCGCGGTGCAGATTCAACAGTCGCGACGAGTGCAAGCACCGCATATAAACATGATGGCTTGGGATAACTTTCTTTATTAGCGGTGCAAAAATGTCCGAAATGCTTCGAGATCATCCGCCTGTTCTTTGACGTTCGCGTTCTTTCCCGGGTTTGGCAGGACTAGTAAACCCGGTGAGCCGCATCTGACGAAGTTCATTGAGTGGTATTAATAAAACAGACTGTCTCTTCAAACTGTGCGTACTTCGTATCATTTTGCTGCGAAACGCTTGGTATTCCCGGTGCAGATGACAAGGTTCGGCGAAATTCTCGTGAGTCAATACGTCACAGGTTTCGCGCGTCATACTACACGTGTGAACAGGCCGATTTCGCGAAATCTTGGTTTCGCTAAACTGTGGTGCGTTGAAAAGATGCATCGTGTGAATAAGCTTAACGTCCCTGGGTGAAAGAACATCCGCGCGGGGTCTTGTAAACGTGTGCACAAATAACGGACCCCCCCCCCCCCCCCCCCCCCCCCCTCTCTCCCGAGTATGGTGCCTGGAACGCGTCTCCCTTGCTGGTGTTTACCGCGTCCAAAAAGTGGTCCCTCGATTTCCGACCAATGACGTCGTACAGGTGTCACACTAGAGAGAGCCTGTATAACAGAGTGTGTCGGACTGCTCGACCGCGGGGTCACGTGGTTTATATGGGCCGCGTTTGCAATACGAGCTGCGAGGAGGTGCCGAAAGCGTCGACCGTCTGCAAACGTCTCTTTCCGCCTGCCACGCGAAAACTCAGCGCTTTCGAACTTGCGAACCAATCTCCACCATTAAATTGCAAAGGCTCCCCATGGTTTCAGATGAATCTCTCCACAATCTAGGTTCTCTGCGTCATGCTGTCGCCGATCGCGATCCTGGCGGTGTAACAACAGCGATAGTGGACGTGGCCGACGCCTGTTTGCTGCAGGTCGCCCTCCAGCTTGACAGTACACGGAAGCTTCTGCAGTCAGGAGTTGGGAAGCTGCGATGACAGCGACACTAGCGTTTACTCGTGCTTCTTGCCGGAACTTCTACGATCAACCACCAGAATCGCGACACCCAACGTCATTTCCGACGTCATTGTTCCCACTTCGGAACCGCTGTCGATGCATGGACAGATTAGGATGCTGAAAACCTGCAGTAATAGACGTGTTCCGGGTACCGTACCCCGAGTGACACTCATAGAGTGCACTAGACATGATGCGCCATTTCATGGCTTTGTAAAAAATATTTGAGCGGACATTCGACACCTACTCTCTCCTTCCACCATGCCCCAGACTTCGCGTGCTTTGTGGTTGGGCAACGAGGCCATTAAACGACGATAGTGTCGTCTGGGTACGCGATTCGATGACATAATCCATGCAGACCTGCTCGCGCATGCGCAGTTACGAAAGAAGGAATTTGAGACAGACTGTGTAAGAAATGAATAGTTCGTGTTTTCAAAGACGGTAGTATCTCTTTCACTCTTTTTTTTTTTTTTTCAACCACCGCTATTAGGACGCATATGCGACCGCTGCTTCGATTTGGTTGCGTAAAGCTAGGCTTGTTTTGGTTGTGTCGACGACGTCCGGACGACGCCCAGCAGGGTAGCATCGGCTTCTAGGAGGGTGAGGTCCTTCTCGGCGCCCAGGAATCGAGACGACATCTCCAAGTCGTTCAAGCGCAGCCTGACCCTCGCGCCCCGGACGTAGTCACTGCGAACCAGAAGGCAAAGGGACGGACATAAGTACACATTACAGGCACACATAGTTTATCCGCTCTATTTACCGTCTCCCGGGAGTCTGCCTTCGAAAACACTAAGCGAGCGAAAGAAGAATATTCGAGCATGATTCCTATCGACAACACAGCTAGATATATAAATAGTACGAAAGTAATTTTGGCTACCCAACAACGCTTACAGTGCAGTCGTACTGAACAGGCCAAGACACCAATTCAAGGAAGATCGACCTACCGCTGCCTAAACACACTAATAAATATCATTTCAATTAAAAAAAACAGCCAAGCAATAATTTCTGAAAAGAAAGGGAGAAAAAAAAAAAAGGAAGAAAGAAAGACTTAAGTGGACATTCACACCTTTGTGTGTTGCATGCACACTTCGTTAGTTCCTCGACACAGGATTTTCAAGCAAAAAAAGTGCCGATGGTTTCGTATCACAAATGTGAAGGCCCGCTTCAGGCAAACAAGAAAATACATGTCGAGACTTTTCCACAACAGGCCCGTTGCTCTCGGGCAGGCGGCGCGAGCGCGTCCGAAAGACGCAACCATGTTATGCTGGCTGCACCATCCACGGGATACGACCATAAAAGCCAACGATAAAAGCGGCGCTGTTAACGCTCGTTTATACACGAGCCACGTTCGAATACAAGCGCCTGTCAACATCTGTCTAGGCGGGGAAAAAAATAGAAAAAATAATGCAGTTTGCGGTTTTCGCGTTTCATGAAACATTCCTTTCAGCTTTATTATTTGAATAGAAGGTATTCACTGGACGCCATGTTTGAGGATGATGTTTAGAGCGCACGCTCAGATGCGAAGATGGACTATCTGGATGGTGTGGAATGCACGTTGTAAAAAACTGTGGAAGCTTGCAGTCAGCACGCGCTCAGCAGACGCGCCCACAGCTATGGCCGCCAATGAATACTCCGTGTTGCTTTCTTTCCTAGCCTCCGTCAGCACGTATGTTTTACTTTGCGTTATTAGCGGCGAGGTGTTTCGGTGGCGCCCTCCTATGGTTATCTCTCGCGACGTCATTACCTTACGAACAACCGATGGTGTTTGTAATGAGGATGGTGGAAGCTTGATATCATTGCGCTGTGAAACCAATGGTACCAACACCGCCAAAGTTGAGGTTCTTCCATTCCTCTTATTTCCGTCGAAGAGAAATCCTTTGCTGACGTCATAGTCAGCATTCGGCCAATCGTGGAAGGCTGATCACAGCGACGTTTTCGATCGCGCACGCCGCCAGTAGCGAAGCCGAAGCTACATGCAAAAGCATTATCCCTTGAACGATGCTCGCACTCCACGAGCGCGGGTGCTTGGTAGGGACCACGGTGTGGTAGGGACACTGCAAGCTCGGAGCATGCTCTTCTAGCCCCTGCTACGCTGGCACTTGCAATGGAACGGCGTATAAAAACTGTAGTGAAGAAGCTCAATGAAGGCATGTTCAAAACGCGAGCCATAAATATTCTATTTTGCTCGCCTGGAGCGGTGCTCAAAACTTGAGAGCTACGGGCCTATCACTTGGGGAGCACAATTTCTCTCATGCCTTTTAAACACCACAAACTAAGCGTTTCGCTGATTCGCAGAACCACGCCCGATCCTTTGAAAGCACGGCACATGATTTGTGAGAATGAGCATTGTATTGAAGCAGGTGTCTCCTTTCAAACTGTTTAAATACAGCACAGAACCTACACGAGCTCTTTCGTCGCGTTCCTACCTCGTTGCCTTCTTCGCTACAGTATTTTGTGCAGCCTTACAAAAAAACAAACGTAAAATTAAAAAAAAAAAATTTTTTTTGCTAGCATTTGCGTGTAAGTTACAGATCTGAAGAAAACCACCGAAGGGGAAGAAGACTTCTGGCTGGGTGTCCTTAATTATCGGACAACTCCGCTAGAAGATGGCCGGACTACGGGTGAGCTCCTCATGGGTCGAAAGCTGCGATCCCGCGTGCCAGACTTCTCTCGGACGCCAGGAGCGCGAGTGAGGAAACACAAACAAAATGATGGTGGGCATTGTCTGCGTGCTCTCCGGCCAGGTGATATTGTCAGAGTGGCATCTCCGACTGGCTGGATCGTTAAAGCGAAAGTACTCCGTCAAGTTGACCCGAGGTCCTGTGACGTTATCTCAGAAGACAACCGCGTATTTCGTAGAAACAGGCAGCATCTGAAACAAACTCAAGAATCCTTCTGCCTACACGGCGACAGTGACGACGGCGAAGATGACGGACACCCTTTGCACCAGGCACCCGAGTCAACAACATTTACATCACCGCCACTGCCACCCCCAACCAGCCAAACAACTGCCTCGAGCTATCCCAACCCACCCCATGGACAAGTCCATGGCCAACAATTCCGCAGGTCAGCTAGACGGCGTCACCCCCCGACAAGACTTGAGTTACGACGAAAACTTCCATCAAGAACTCGTGAACTCCGTCTCAAGAGGGAAGATGTATCGGTTATGACATCACATGACGTCACTGCTGGCTGGACCTGCCACCTGGGTTCGGCTATAAAAGGGCCTGCACGATGGCAGATTAAACAGAATGTATCTCGCGACTGATGTGATCACTGCTTGCGCTCGAGACAGGCTCGAGCAAATGAACGCATCCTGCAGAACAGCGCCTTCGCTCTTGCGACGCAGCCCTGTCAGACTGGCTAATTTATAGTTCCTTTCAGCGAGCACACTTCATCCGTTACACTTGTGCGCTGCCGCGCGGCTACTTTTAGTGTCACTTGCTAAAGAACGCGATCGGCTACAACTTACAAGCGAGTTTGATGGGTTCATTATACACTCAATTCGGAAGATCGAGTGCGTACCCTCGATCAAAGTTTAAAAAAAAAAAGAACATGGAGTATATTTAAGTTGCGTAAAATAAAGATTATCATGTAAAAAAAAAGACAAACAGAAACAACAATAACAACAAAGGGTATCCAGAAGTACATTGCGCGAACATAACATCGGCGATTTTTTCAGTTTTCTTTCGAAACCGCATTTTCCAAATTTTACCCCTTAGGTTAACTGGGCACTAGATAAGCACTTTCCACCACCATAGTAGTTTTGATGACAGCCCCTGGCAGCCCAGCTACGCTATACGCTAGAGCTGAGGTGGCCAGGCTGACCCGGCCTTAGGGCCGCAAACAAAACCACGAAACTTCAAGAGCCGCAAAGGGGGGGGGATTTTCGTTATCTATCCCAGTCAAAAGAAGTCCGACAGTACGTAGGGTAGCAGTAGCACAAGACATCAAAGGGACCACTGTGATGAAAAAAAAAAAAAAAAGATAATTAAAGGGACTCGGAATTCCAGTGCGGTGAATATAAGAAGGTAGATATCATTTACAGTCGTATAAACAAAAAGTTAGAAAAACAATGGTGTGGATATATATACAAAGGTCAGGGGTGCTATGTTGCGCTTTTTGACTCCCAGGAGACTTGGAAGAAGTAAGTGACGTCAACGACTAGAGCAAACGCAGATTGGATGTTGACAGAATAAAACAAAATCAACATCCAATCTGAATTTTCTGCATTGTTGACGTCACTTCCTTCTCCCTAGTCTCCTGGGAGTCCAAAACGTGCAACATAGCCCCCCAGTTAGTCGCATCCGCTGGTGGTGCACGTCGACGTAGGCATGGCGTTCGTCTTGTCCAGGAAATGCTCAGCTGCTTGCTAGGCACACGCGGAGGCTTCTCAGCGAGCTTGGGTGAAAGCCCCACGGGCCTGGACTCGTCCGTCCGGGCTCCTCCTCGGCTGCCGGGACCACCGCTGTCGAGCCGGGTTCCGTGTCGTGCCCGCCCTTCTCTCACGAGTCACGAGCCTGTGTCTCCTCTTCCCTTCTCGTCGTCGTCTTCGTTTTTTTTTTTTCCGTATATCCAACTCTTGCCTTGAACTTCTTTGTCTTCTAACCATATCCATCTTTCCCACGTTCACTGCGTCTTCTTTCTCGTCCTTTGCTCAGTCCACAGTGTTGCTCAGTTCAACTCATTCATTTCATTTAATGATCAGGAAAAAAAAACAGAGAAATTAACCGAAGAAGTCTCGGTTGGCTACTCTGCGTGGGGATGGGGAGTGGGATAACAGAGGACAGAGAAGAGGAACAAATAAAGGTAGCAAAATACAGAGCGCATACAGTCTCGTGCAACAAATCAGTTATCACAGAATAGTGAGAATTTGTAAATATGTACACAATGAAAAAAAAAAAAAAAAAAAAAGGATCGCCTTTGTAATGCGACAGTGTTAGTTAAAAAGCCCATCTTCATGTATAACAGTCTGTAGCATTCAACATTGTGTTCGGTTGAGTTCAACCGTGAGGTCTCTGGACACTTTAAAAGACCGTCACATAAGAGATGTCACAATGCAACGGATATTCAGATATTCCTACAGTAAAGAATGATGGGGGCTCAGTGACTGCCGTTTCCGCCTCATTAAGTATCTACTGCACACAGCGTCACTTCCCTGCCTTATCAAAAGTTAGAAGTTATTTGGGTAAGGAATTTAAATCAGACGGCTAATTGGGTCTGTTTTCTCTAAGTAAACCACTAAGGCGTCTATAGCGCTCTGTTGGCTTTTTCGATCGTTCCAAGGGCCAAGGATCTTGTTTAGGCTGAATGGATCGCTATTTAATTTCTGAATAGTGTCGTGAAGTGCGCTTCTCTCAGTGTTAAACAACTCGCACTCACAGATGACGTGGTGGAAGTCTTCAGGGACGTTGCATTGTAAACAGTTCGGACTTGAAATAAACCCGAATTTGTGCATCTGAATATTTGTGAAAGCAGAATTCAAGCGACATCTATGCAAACAAGTTTCCACGTTTCGAGGTAATTTTTTAGGAATAGAGTTTTCTAGTCCCGGGTCGATTTGATGGAGGTATGGATAGCAGTTTTTGGTGCACGACCATTCACCCAGGAAAGTGTTTTTACCAAATGATGCCACATGTCTTGCAGCCTCTTGTCGAGTGAAAGGAATGTTTTCAGATGGAGCAAGG